CATGTTGGGCATGATTACAGGTATTCCATAAACTTTTTTGGGCCATCCAGGGTCGTTTTTGTGGCGACAACAAATTAAAATCTAATTTTCTTCAAATGAGTTTTTTGTGAAAACTGCGCAGTTGATCGTCACCAATTTTGACACGCATATAGGGACCATCGGCGTGTCTTGTGTAAACTTTTTTGAGGGGGTCTTCATTATGAATTTTTTCGAGAAAAAAATTCGAAATCAAAATTTTTGAACATTTTTTTTCTCAGTCAGGAAAAAAGCGAAACGTCTCAAACTCGGTACACATGTCGACCATGATGAGAAGTATGTGCCTGTAAATTTACAGCCCTCTAGCATAATTTTTACGGCTACAAAAAATTAAAACCCCTCCCCCTCCCCATCCAATTACTCGGCGACAAAGCAATTAATTGACTCGAAACTTTGCACACGTCTAGGGCATGACTTCCTGTACATGCGGTTAAATTTTCATTTGGTCATCGCTTAGTAATTTTTTCCACAAAATCAAAATAATCGTTAAGTTTTGTCGTGGAACCGACGTCCGCGCCTTCGCGGAGCTCCGTCATCTTGAGCACTTTTAAAGTTCAAAATCTATCAGTTAACTTCATTAAAATCATTTACAATTGACCAGGAATGATGAACCGTATATAGCGCTCCCGTATAGCGTAGGTGTGAATGGTACGACTGCTGCAACGACCGTACTTCGATCGCACTTCTGCAGCCGTACCACCAGCGGCCAGGTCGCAGCTGTATATAGCCGATCGTCCACCGCTGGAGGCTGTTTCTCAGAACTGTCATGTTTCCCTGATATAGATTGTCTCACAGTCAGTCTGGCCATAGGTTGTTCCATATTGACCGTAATGAATTAGAAAGAGCAAAGATTAACTTGCTCCATTTATAATCTTCTCTGTCGTCGAGATCGATATTCTATCACTTTCCTTTGCAAGAGTCTGCCCTCAAAATAACTTCATAGAAAACATTCTTACAAGAAAACTGGCAACTTTTTCATGTGAAACTATAATAGGTTATTGTTGCTGCATAACAATTGACTATTCACTCAGGCAGGTGATAGAATAGTCAGGTGAGTGAGTGGACAGTGTACTGAATAGTCTTTCATACTCCCTAAATCCAAATTACTCCGCGAAGAAGTAATGAAATGCTTCAAAACTTTGCACACGTGTCGGTCATGACTACCTGTACATACGCTGAAATTTTAATTGGGATAATTTTTGAATATTTTTTTTTGGTATATTTCAGTGTTAAGCATTATGCATATTGCCTTGTTTACGAATTTTAGGGCATTTTTCGAAGATTCTTTTCTTTACTCGGTGAGCCCGAGACGTGTTCCTTAGGACGCGTCTCGGGCTCCCAAATTCTTCTATCAAAGCCGCTTGATTGAAATGCTCGGCCAAAAGGCCGAGTTGCGATAAGTGTATTTATTGTGCTTTTATTAATATAAATCGGTATTTTGATGTACCAGCAATGGTTGAGATAACAGAATTCTACAATAGAAGGTACATAAGTTGTGGATGAATTATACGTAGTATATAG